AGAGAGAGAGAGAGAGAGAGAGAGAGAGAGAGAGAGAGAGAGAGAGAGAGAGAGAGAGTCCATCAACTTCTTGGCAAACATTCCATTTTTATTGCGGGCGTAGCCCCAACAGGTCCCCTAGTTAATGATAAGAAGGTTAAGCTTACATCTTAATTCCTGTTGGGACAGTTGGGTACAATTACATTATGTGGCACTCCATTGACAAGGAGGAAAAAAGAAAAGAATGAAGACAGCAACACCAGTGTGGGGAATTAGGTGGGGTGGTGTTACGGGGAGAATTTCATTTCATGCTGGCTAACGTATGGCTACTTCTAGCTGAATCTGTGTATTACCAGAGGTTAGTCTACGCACAGCTCATAACACTTTTATGCCCTGAACCCGGTTGTACAAATTGGTTGGTTTCGTCTCATCACACATGCCACGGACATGGCAGCAATTGGTCTACTCCTTGCTTCAGAATTTACATGCTGAGAGGCTCACGTGAAGTCTTTTGTTGCACATTTGATCTGGTGACCTGTGCTGGCTGACTGTGTCCTGGAGAAAGACCTAACGCGCTTGATCCAGCACTTCGGAGGCCTGGGAGATTTGACCGTGAGGTTGCAGTTGATATGCCAAATTTGAATGAGCGGCTGGAGATCCTCCAGGTACACACACTCATACATCAACCTCAAGCCCCTGACAAGTCGGTGAAAGGTGGATAAAACAGTCTGGCACAATGATGTTTTCTTTTGTGGAGTTCTGTATAGCGAACATGATAACGCACATCAAAGGCAATAGTTCAAAAGTCCATGCACTGGCCCTCGCTCCAGTTCTCTCGACATGCACAAAAGGCAAAATATGGCAGACGATCTTTACATGTTCTAGCAGAAGATTCATTCTCATTTTGCACATGTGAGTAGCGAGGCCCATTTTGTGTGAGCAATCTTTGGATGCTTGACATTAGTGATAAGATCTCTGCTGGTGATGTCAATTGATGATTGTAAGCTACATACTAGCGGCTAACACTTTTTTCAACCAGTTGTTTGCAGCAAGTGCCTACTGCACATACCTCATATGGATGCAATGACCCACACAGTTGCAGTCTGTGAAATCTGCATGTTCCTAAGAAAGTTGCTTTCTTTTCATCTGTTTGCAGAGATTCCCAAGTCTGAGTCTGTTTTGCTGTGATTTCAGTGTCTGAATGTTGCACTGATGCTGTACGTATGACTGCGCTGATGCTGTACGTATGACTGCGTGCTCGTCTTTTGAAGTTTTGAGTCCAAGGCTCTGTGTGTGGTAAGGCTCTTTCCTGCACTGTGTTTCTGTACATCGGATGGGGGTAGATGAGTAAATAGGATTAGACTCAGGGACAAGACTGAAATTTGACTGTCAAAGAACATATTGGAAATAGTATTATAAACAGAGGTAACTAAGAAATGTAGGAGGGCCCTGCTACGAATTTTCCAGTAGTAGGGTAGGCCCTTGGTCTGGTGGAAAAGGAGATGTTCCTGCCAGAGGCAGGGTCTGGTAGGCCGAGGAACACGTCCGACCTGGGTATCGCATGGGTAGTGCGGCAAGAGGCCGGAAGGCAAAGATTACATCATTCAGTGTGATGAGTAGTCTGGGTATTGACATGGTGCTGCTCTGGCAAGGGATGGTGAGGAAGACCTCCATGGCTATGGAGGATTAGGTAGAGACAAGCAAGAGTGTATGGCTATGGAGGGAGAGGTAGTAGATGCCCACGCTGTGCTGTGGTACAGCACTGCAGTAGGTGAGAGGAGGGAGGGTAGGCCCGAGGTCTGAGTATTCACATGGTGCTGCTCTGGCAAGGGGGTGATGAGCACGACCTCTATGACTATTGAGTAGGTGAAGACGAGCGAGAGTGGATGGCTATGCAGGGAGAGGTTGTAGATGGTTACATTGAGCTATGGTGAAGGGAGGGTAGGCCCTAGGTCCGGGTATTCACATGGTGCTGCTCTGGCAAGGGGATGATGAGCAGGGCCTCCATGACTATGGAGG